AGTCTTTTTAGCATATCTTTTCATTGTAAATAAATTTCTTGATACTTACATTACAGCCAATTCCCTTTTGCACGCAATACGAGTTTGTATTGTATGTGAATTAACTTCTTTAAATACCCAGGTATATGATTTTGGTATAGACGATAGGTTTTGAGAATCGAAGTTCCAAATTAATTTCGCTATCGGATAAGATCATTAAATCGGAAGATCAAAACCAGCTGCCGGTATCTAAATTTAACGCATGTTCTTTGAAAATCGATTTTACACATAACGCAAATATACATTTCACCCGATTAATGGTGTAGATTAATGCTTAATTTAAACATGGCCGCCGCATAATAAACGTTCCGAAACGTTTCGCATTATTTACAATAGCTCAAATTATAAATCAGGCAATTGTGCAATATTGTAGCGGGCATTTATCGAGAATTCCATTATAGGAACCTAAATCTAATTTCCTGGTCTTACCTGTGACAAGGAGGCATTTGGTAATAAAACCTACCTCGAGATTTTTAATGGTTAAAGTTACATTTGTGTAACGGCCATAAAGCTATGTTTATCCATATCGGCATATGTATAGCTAATTACTCCATTCATTCCTTTGCTATATGTAAATTAAAAACTATTAACACCAGAATCAATTTCGTTATGTAGGTTTATGCTAATGCGAAGTTCATAAATTTCATATAGTCATGAATGAAAGAAAAAAGAAAAAAATGTAGGATCTATAAAAAATCTTTATAGTGATTTAGTTAATTATCATTATACTGCCGCAGCACTAGAACGTAAACGTACCGGAAGGTTTTATTTTAATTTTATACTTTGTTTGAATACATTATGCATACTAATATCAGTTATTAATGTCGTAAAATGTTTAATTTAATACCGATTTAAATAAGTTTTGGCAAATTTTAGTAGCTGAATCCCATAAACGACTTATGTAAAACGCTACTTGTATGTTTGTCCTGAAAAGTACAATCGTTCAAGAGGGACTATACGAATCTAATTTTGGGGGCCTTTCGCACGCTACTGATTTTTTTTATTACCAGGTCGGAGTATCTCCAATCTTTTTAGTGATATAAAAGTCATGCGATCGGTAAGATCAAACCGATTATAACATAAATAAACAAGTCAAATTGTTACGATGAGGAAATTATACCGGATGGTGCACGGTAAGTAGGAACATAAGGATTTAACATGGGAAATTAGTTTTATGCAATATCCTGCTCTCCTGTATATTTTCCAGAAAAAACTGTAGAGTTTAAATTTGTTCAGAATTAAAAGATGCATACAAAATGTTTTTACATGTTTTATTAAGCTTTTGGTATATACGCAAATTTAAAAATAAATTTCAATATTTATGTTATTAGTAGCAATAGCCATGAGTTTTGTTGTTTTTTGAATGGCTAGTTACTAATAACAGAAATGTTGAAATTTATTTGCGTATATACCAAAAGCTTAATAAAACATGTAAAAACATTTTGTATGCACCTTTTAATTCTGAACAAATTTAAACTCTACAGTTTTTTGTGTAAAATGTACAGGAGAACAGTATATTTCATAAAACTAATTTCCCATGTTAAATCCCTATGTTCCTACTTACCGTGCACCACCCGTTATATAGTTATTTATTACTTACTTATACAAGACAAGGGATGTTTTAGCCACCGAGGGAAATAACTTTTACGATTATTGTCGTGTATAATACAAACCGCAAGCAGAACCCATATCAATAATTATAAAACTTTGGAAAATTTTCGATTTAACGTAATCTCAAAAATAACCAGTTTAAGTTCTGCTGTCGTTTCCTTGGGAACAATACTGTTTTCTGTTCTGATCTTCATTTCATTTCGTGCTTCGCGTCCTTTAATAAGATTGACAGATGGCACTAGAATGCACACTCATTAGATATACTTTATGTATCCTTGCCGTTCAAGTGATCATCTTTATCTACTCTTACTGTTGGAGAGCCTACTCATTCAAACCACAAAAATTAGTTTTTTAATTCATAATTTACGTCAATTTTGTGAATTAAATTCATTTCGATTAAACCTTTTTCTTGGCTTATGGTAGTTGATGATTTATAAAACGACTTAAAAAACAATACCTAGTTACAGAAAAGCTAATTGGAGCAATTCGTGAAATCGGTCAGTGGATGGATAGCTGCCTATGCGAATTTAACCGTAACACATTAAAGGCGCTACGCTTTTATGTGAGTTTTAGAGCATTCCTCTATCTTCATTTAGTTAGCGCATCTCTACAGGGGTTAAGAATTCTCTTATTCTCTTAGTAAAAGGATTTCTTTTCTGCGGAGTACTGACACTGCACTGGGCCAATTTAATATGAATTGCGAAGAACACTGGTCCGCGCAAAACAGTGCCTTGAAAATTAAACAGGAGAATTATTTGGAACAAAGTTATCGTTTAATTAAAATATAAATAAAATTAATTCTAAGCTTAGACGGTGAAAGCCGGCGGAGCGGTACGGTATTCTCGAGCGCCACCAGGAGATCCTCAAAGCTTGCTTCTGGTTAAGTACGGTCGGTTGCGGTTGCGGAGGTTCGCAAGTCAAGGTAGTCATGGAGAAAACGAAAACCTCCAGGGATCCTGTCGGAAAATGACGGGCGTTCACTGGCGACCAATCTAAAAAAGACAGAGTTATAGCACACAAAACTGTATCCAATTCTCTAATGAGAACGGCAAAAAAATTAACTATGGGTGTCTATGGGTAAATCACGATGCAGCGAAGCAGAACAAAACCCCCTTGATGATTTTCACGAAACGGAAAATATCAATCCCTTACCCGGAAATTAAACGGAACGGTTAAATGAAATGTACGCTAAACAAAAACCATAAGTTTCACCGTCCATGTTAAAAATACAACAATGATCGCCTAGATCGTACCTTTTATAAAATTCGAAAGATACACGACCTAATCAGATGCGGTTTACTGCAACACATCTAATTAGCTACTGCTATTTATTTATTTATTCTCTCTTGTTCTGAGCCCTCAACAGGCTTGCGCCCAATTACAGAGTGACCCGCTTAATGCTTTTAAGAGATGCATCTGCAGAAGGTCTTAAGTTCTACACTACTGCGGTATTTACCTTATGAATTATGAAAACTGCAGGAAAATCTAATTCGGAGTAGCCGGCGAATGCTCGAAACTGGTCTAAGGAAATTCCCATCTAAATACTTACCTCAGTTCAGGTTCGAACACCCGACCTCCGACTTTATAGCCCAACGCTCTACCATTGAACCACAAAGTGCTTACTTAATTGACTGGGGCGGAATTCCAAAATCCTGTAGTCTAGTTAACACTCATTGCTACCTTTCCGGACCCGTTCAAAGGTAATGTTTCCAGTACATTTATAGTCTTCTATGCCGTAATTGCTACGCCCAATATTTGGATATTTACCTCTGGTCATCTTCTTCTGCCCGTCAAGATTGCTACACTTGTCTTTTCCGGCACCAGCCTGCTATTGATCATCCAGCTGTTTATCCGGTTAACGTGTCCTCTACGTCCCTTCATCCTGCTTCACCTTTTCACCTTTTGGACGTTGGTTGCTCCTGCAACGTCAGTAAGAACTTTGAGCTTTTTTGATGTTGTGTAAAAGTAAGGTCAATTTCGTTCACCGTACAAGATGTGACAATTAGAATTATCGTGGGTATACCTCACATAAAAAAAATGCAATAAGTATCTATTATTATTTCCTAATAATGTTTATTAATGTGTGACATTGTTGGTTTTCTCCTGAAGTTAAGGCATAAGAAAAGCTAACAAAGAGCAGAAATGCAAATTCTGCCGGGTTTTAAAAACGTCATAGGTATTGCTATGATTTTCAAGCTGAAAGCTGGCTTTAATTAAAAAAAATTCCACATTATCAAAACATGACAAAACTGTGACCCGATAGTACCTATACATCCTAATAATTAATTTAAAACCAACTGGCATGAAACGTTACGTTACGGTCAATCACCTAATACAAACTATATTCTCAAAAACTACGTAGTAGACCAGCAAAAGAATATGCATAAAAATGAACCTGATTCTGTCTCTTATTTATAGCTGGAAGCATGAAATAAATAAATAATTCGCGTGGTAATTTTTTGTAACGTTTTGATTTATCGCAACCAAGAACGAAAATCTTTTTTGGTATAAAAGCAATATGACTTCCGGTTACCCTGAGTTCCATTTCAAAAATGGAGGTATACGCAGTTTAAAATTTTCATAATTCCACGTTTAATGAATATGATTTATTAATGACGCCGTATTATATCAACGATTTGATTCCGATTGGTACCTATAGGAAATTGCATCAGGCAAAGAAATCGGTTTCCTTAGATATTAAAGGTTTGCTTTAAATGGTTTGTAACGACTAGTCTTCAATAGCGTCTCTGAAAGAAAAAGGCGTGAGAAATAAGGGCGTAATAGTGTGCTAAAATCGTTATCAAGCTAAATAAAAGTACAAATTTGTGCCATACTTCAAAGCACTAAGAACCCTTCCAATCGCCGCAGCAACGATCAATAAGTGTAGCAAGGTGACGAATTTTTTACAAATTGTCTCCGCGTAGATTAATTGCCGTTGACGTCTAGGTAAATTAATTACGAAATTATATTCATAACAATTAAGTTCATTTATAATATAATATCAATCATTTTAATAACCAACTAGTGGTTATAATTGCATGCTATTAACGTATACACTAATTAGAAACCCAAATGTATCAACTTCCGACGCTAAGATGGCGGGGCTCGTGACAGTTTTATAATGAGTACTTTTTTGCGAACTGAGACAGGATATTGCAATATGAGGGCAATTAGGAGCTTATGAAGCTTGCATACAGAGCATTTGTTTTTACTTAAGATATATTTGCATTTAAGAGCTTTTCTTATTCTTATAGCATTCATCATTATACGCGGTCACAGTTTGTAATTACATAAATAATTTATAGGGTTTGAACCTTCCGGTTTACTCAATTGATGTCTTTCATTTGCAGATTCAAATGGTGAAGGTCCCAAGCTGAAGTGCAACTTGAGGAAGCACAAACCGAACAGAAAGCCACGCACTCCGTTCACGACGCAGCAATTGCTAGCGTTAGAAAAGAAATTCAGAGACAAGCAATATTTAAGTATCGCGGAAAGGGCGGAATTCTCGAGCTCGTTGCGATTAACGGAGACGCAGGTGAAAATATGGTTTCAGAATCGAAGGGCGAAAGCTAAGCGGTTGCAAGAAGCGGAAATAGAAAAACTAAAGATGGCTTCTTTAACCAGACATCCCCACCCTTTATATCCCCATCCTGCCTTGCAGGGTTATTTTCCCCCAGGAGCTCACCCTCTAGCGTCCCTTTTAGGAGCACGACCCCCTATGGCCCCACTTGGAATTATTTCTCAACCACCTCCTCATCATTTAACTTCACCGCAAAGCTCGATGAGAACGCCGAGTCCACATATGTCTTAAACGCGCGAGGGCGTGTTTGATAAAATACATTTTATAGAGTAAAATGCGATGTTAGTATTGTTGTATTATGTGATTTTACATGCAATATTAAATTTACGATATAGGCAAATTATATTTTTGTGATCATGTGCAGTACACCACGAAATTGGGCATTACTACGAGTTTTGATTAATTGAACGACTGCATTTTAATTTATACTTCGTTCTGCATTTATTTATACCCCTACGTCAGTAGACGTATTAATGTGCCAAATATTGCAAATACTAAATTACACTGTTGACTGTGGTAGGTCTCGGCCAGCATTCTTTGTTAGTAAAAACGTTCAGCTATTGATGTAACACTGAGATCGCTCGGAATTAGTTTATGTGACCTTCTTCACCTACTTATCAAAATTAATAACACACTTTGATCTTTCGGTATAATTGATAATTAACACTAATGTTGGTGAAATAAATCTGAATAGATATATTCAAGCTCTATCTAATAATTACAATGTTATTTTTAAGATAAACTAATGAACAATTTCGCTTTTAAATGTTACAACCACCCGTAAACAGCTGCCAACTTAATAAAGCGTACAAAACTCCTTTCTACTACACACAATTATAATGATTATTTATACTTCATAAACCGTCGGCTCATTTGGCATTACATCTGAAAATGAAATTAATTATAAAGGCGGTTATTAAATTTACGGTTTTATAACACGTCCTCTTAAGCTGTGCGGGCGATTTTTTATTTCGCTTTCTCAAAAGTATAAAGCTGTACCGGTGAAAAGTGTTCATTAACGAAACAAAATTTGTCTACTAATTATCTCGTTTCGCTTTACTCCGTCGGTAGCACAAAAACATATATAGAGTTTGGATTCATAAATAATGGCATGCAACAGTTTATTGCTCATGTATAATTACTGATGAACTCATAAATGTTAAAATTACAAATTATACATATATCAATATATTTTTATATCATTAAAATTAATTAAAATTATCTTGGCAATAAATTAGTATGTTTATCACGCATTCTGTAAAAAAAGGTCACTAACTACAGCCATTTTTTGTCATTTTTATTTGGACCAAACTGATACTTTTTTTATTATATTAATATTGTTTACGTACTGATGATATTCGAGCTCGGTGAGCTTCTTCTTTTCCTTTTAAAAAAAAAGTGTAAATATCTGTGTAATTGATTGTACAGTGATGTAAATAAATTTTGTAAATATACATGAATGTAAAGTAGTTTATGATTTTAATATTTATGTACAATTGTATACATTTCGTAATTTTGCCTTGTTTACCTATTTTAAGTGTTTTTAACGTTCCAAAGTTACGAGATGCGTGCATTACTATTTAGGTTAATATTAAAAAAAAAAGTAATAAAGAAATATGACATTTTTAAATACTTTCATTTTTACTGTTTTTAATTTACTGTGATTCCCAAAACCCATACGGTACGAACCTTACAAATTTGTGAGTGTTCGAAAAGAGTAGGTAATCGTTTAAATTTTCTCTTTGTTTTGTGTTGTCAATTTTAATGTTTCTGTGTGAAAAATAATCTAAAAATTGCAAAAAACCATAGGAAAATCGAACAGTCGAACAAAGATTCTAGTCAGACTGGAAGCCAACCCCGGTATTCGAATCGAGTCGACAGCTGACTTGGTTCAATAGTTAAAATGTACGGAAGAAAAGGAAGCAAAAGACATAAATACACTGATTTTGCTTCTCAACCTCGTATTTTTGAAAGATCTTTAATGATCTTTCCCCCTCTAACGTGAATCAAATGCCATGAGATGTTAAAATGGCTCCGCATATCCATTTTACTTTTTTGATATAATGACTGCACGTTTATTATTCACTTCATCTGAAAATAAACGGCTACGATTTGAGATGTAACTTTTGTTGTTTACTAGGTTCTCATCCAACCCATTCAATAGTTTTAAGATCTTGGAAATATTTAGACCAAGATCCAAACGAAAAATTGCTCTTTATAGTGCCGGATAGATTTTGATTTGTGTTAATTTCTAAGAATAAAGGAGCGCCGAATAAGTCATCCTTTGCATAAAAATAAACACATATAGTGTAGTAACCGTTGTTGTCTAATCAATTAGCTATTATTAGCACTGCATTTGTATAATGACGCGGAGTTCCATTTTAATTGCAAAGTCTTGCCGATGAAAAAAATTTCAAAGAATACTGCTTTGTGTCCTGGTGTTAAAGTGTCGTATAAATTAACGCAATTGTTACAAATTCTTGGGTAATTAATCCGCATAATGATTTACGACTTATGCAGTAAATTAGCTTGATAATAATTGTAAAGATTAAAAATCGTTTTATTGTTTATAAGAAATTATTAATTTAGTAGCTCTAAAACTTTTCGGTGTATAGAAGAACTCAGAATTTGAAGACCTCGAGCCTTTAAAATAAAATTCAAAGATTTGACGTCTGTCCAATGCCAACTGCCGAAGAACATGGAACATGGGCATCCCCGTATGGAATTTATTTTATTTTTATTTTTGCTTTTATTTTGGAGTAGGCAGGGCCATGCCCGAACCTGGATTGGATCCTTAGTGCCGCAGCCGAGCTTCAACATATATAGAGAGTATGCGCCCCCGAAAACCTTCTAGTAACGATTTCCAAGGCATTTTTCCGGCTTTTCATGTATTATATTTATAATTTTCATGAAATAATAAATGCATTTTTGCACCCTTTATGCAATTTTGAAAAAATGGTTCAACCAGTATAGTAAAACATTTTTGTGAGCACTACCGAAAATCGCATTTCGATACGAACTGTTTGCAAACATTTATACACTGTTTTCCTCATTTCCCTCGTCTATTAGATTCATCGGCATGCTCTTTTTTATATACGTCTATGGTAAATTTAAATCTGCTATTTTTGAGTAGCTGAGACTGTTTGGAACCTACATAATTATCATCTTCAATGTCAAAAAATTTCTAAACAAAATAGCTTTGTTGTGTATTCTACTTCTTCTCAATTTCATTTTCATCCTATTTATCGTGGGTAGTAATTCCTTAAGTCATGTGGCTTCACGATAAATCACGAATAATGTAAAACCAAGATTTTTGGTAAAGCTAAACTCTAAAACGGAGAAAAAGGTCATAGCTGTAGCATATACAAAAGTCGTTGCCTATTATTATTGTAGCCGGTATAAAGTTCCTGTTCGTTACGAAATTACGTAATTTTAAAAAAACGTACATTTACACTTCATGTACAGTGTCTCCTATTTTGGTTGAGGCTGTCTTTAAAGATTTGCGACTTTCGCGATCCTGTGTCTCTCCTTGTGACATTTTTAGTACCACAAACAGAATCAATTTAGCTACGTTAATTTCCAAGATACAAGGTGAAAACGTAAAGTTTGACTTTTTGGAATGTAAAAACTGTTTATTTCAGATATTTTGGCTTAGAAGCCAATGTGGTTGTGAGAAAAATTTTTGGACCACAGTTTCTTTTCTTTTAAGTAGTTTTAGAGAAGTTCTTCAGAATTTTCTTAGAAATATTACTAGAAATATTCAATGATAATCTTCAGGAATCGTCTTAGAAATATTATTCGAAATCACCCTAAAATTTTTAACAATTCCTTACGAACCCTTCAAATTTTTATATAAAAACCTGGAGGCTCTTATTGATGTTCTAGATCTCTCTTCCGACTAGAAAGATCGGCGAAGAAACCGTTTTCGAAGTCATCTAAAAATCTTCTTAGAACACTTCTTAGGAGGAGATCTTTTTAAAAAGAAATTTATAAATCTTAAAATATTATTAGGAACTTTATAAATCTCTTTCAAAATCTTCTTAGGGGTCTTTTTAGAACTCTAATTGGGAAGATATTTAGGAACTCTCGACGAACTCTTTTTGCTAGAAATCTTCTTCGAAAGTATGCTCGCATTTCCTATAAATAAAAAAAAGACTCATCTTGGAAATATTTTTGGACTCTCTCCACCTCTTCCTGTCTGTGGTTGCTTCTTTCCAATGGCGGATTCCCTTTAGATCTGCGTCTAGCCACCTCATTTTCAGCCTCCCTCTTATATTCCTTCCATTCTTGTTGCTCTTTCCTCACCTAGCCTCCTAATGTGACCCCAGTCAGCGTATCCTTTGGCTTTTAATCACTCCTAGTATGGAAGGTTAGCCATACAAGCCTGTTTTAGAAAGTCTGATCTTGGCATTTCGCAATACACTATTCGATTTGAAAATTAGCAATAAGGATCTCGCACTCTTATTACTATTCTTCTATTTATTTCCTTATCGTCTCCCTCCATGTTGAATAAGCTCATTCCTAAATAGGTAAAGTCCTCCACTCCTTCCATTTCATTCAAGATTTTGGTTTTCCGATCTAAATAGTAAATTTCAACGCTTTTCTGTTCTCATTCCCTCTTGCACTTCCATTTTCTTTCTCTTCTCCAGTGCTCCATGTTGACGTCTTAGACCATACTCCTTTGCAACATTTCCCAATTTCCGTAGCATTTCTAGTGTTTGGTGCTTGCTTCTGGCTACTATGGGTACATCGTCGGCAAAGGCAACTATTTGGTGTCTATGGTGGTATAAAGTTCCATTTGTATGGAACTCGCATCTCCAATAATAAATGAAATAAGTCGGTTGATAACGGGTTTTCCTGCCGAAGTCGCCGTCTAACTCTGAAGTTCCGTGAATTGACTCCGTTAATCCTTATTTTGTTGTTCTAAATGCAACGCGAGGTTGTGCTCGTAGCCATTTGCTGCTTGATCACAAAAATTTGGTCGCTTACAGATCTGCTTGCCTGGAACCCACATTGATAGTCTCCTATTCTGCTGATCTGATATTCTCTTACTTCTCGTTCGTGTTTTGCCATGCATGTTTCCTCATTGTTCTCTAAGTATTCCACTCAACTGCTCAGACTTCCATCTGTGTCGTCCACCAGGTTTCCTTCTTTGTCTCTGCAGTATCGAGGTTTAGCCTTTTTGCTTATTTTACCTTTTTTGCTTTTCATTCCTTTCATCTTTTTTTCTCTGCATATATTTTTTGTTTCTTTTCTGCGGTTTTCATATCTTCTCTTATTTTGTTGGGTATTCCTAATCATCACCTCCATCCTGGCTTTGCTTCTTGTTTCAATCGCTCTTCTGCATTCTCCATCCTACCAGTCTGCACGATTTTTCTTGTGGTCCGGATTAGTCGTAAACACTGCCGCTTCCTTTTTTGATTTCTGTATACTTTTCCAGGTTGCTTCTATGTTTTAATTCTCAGTTATGTTTCGTATGCTCTCCTCCAACTCCTGTTTATTATTAATTTTTTCGATGCATTCTGCATTCTTCCACTAATATGGTAGGTCGCATATTTATCTTTGAATTGCAGTAAGCACAACCAAGTCGTATATGCGCATCTCTTTTAAATCTTAAGCTTAAAAGGAAAGGTTATATGATCCTTTGGCACTAGCCGAAACCTTTGAACAGCATTTTGCGTTAAAACGCAAGGATCGATTTATTTATTTTATTTTATAGCATATGTTAAATTGACATTTTAATAAGTTTGAATGAGTATGCTAAGCCGTTCTTTAACCGTACCGATAGATAAAGTGATCACTTTAACTGTAAGGGTAGATAAAGTGAAATAGATGACTGTGCGTTCTAATGACATCTGTCATTCTTATTTCAAATACACGATTTAAAATGACGTTCAGAATATGACAGTTCTGTTTCTATGGAAACAATCGCGACTGCAGAACCTATACTGTATTCATTTTAAGAAGGTAGCGGTGAAAAGCATAGGGAAGCTTTGACCTTCACTGTGATTGGTTAAAACACGAGTCAGTATTACAATGAAACATAAAACGACTGGTGAATTTTGCAAGTTGGTAGTTTATGTTGCCAACTAAACTGCCGAAGTGTCATTAGTTGCTGTTGTGAAAAATTTATTTCTGTTCGCAGTGCTGAATATTTCTACTTCACAATAATTTGGTGCCGTTTTATATTTTCCCTGTGTGTGTTTATCTTCAAACACAGCGCCATCTACTACCTTCTTATAATGAATGCAGTATAAGCTTGATATTTTTCACATTTCTAAATATTATATTCAGAATTGTCAGAAGCTTTTCCATGATTTATATTGCTTCTACTATAAAATAAAGTTTTGTAGCATACACGACTATAAAGTTAAAATTCCCCGTTATCGTCTTGTGTAATAAATAACTATAAATTGTCTGCATCTAGTTTGGATCACCCGTTATATCTGCTCTCTTCCAATTTTTTTCATTCTAGTCCCCTAAGAGGATTTTCACATCGTACTTAGTACAGATTCTCCACCTCTTCATAATAGGCACTTTTTTCTTCTTGATATTTGATTTCCGAGGGG